TGTGTGAAACATCTCTCTTTCACTGAGTAGGAATATTGTGTTTTTCAAAATAAAAGCACGGGTATGGATATTTAGTGCATGTTAACAGTGTGAGTAATGCTTGTTATGTAATGAGGGTGAATGTGAGGAATGAAGCTCTGCAGGTACACACACACACACTTATGTCGCGTTTCCACTACACGGCCTCGCTCGGCCCCGCTCGGTATGGCTGGGCCTCGTTAGGACTGGCTCACTTAATGGCGCATTTCCATTACAGTTTAGGAACTGGGGCAGTATCTATAGTAACGCAGTGTAGGCGGAGCCGTGACGTCATCTTCAATGAGAACCCCAGAAACACAACACAGCCGTTAGCTGTTAGCACTCAGAGCTCACAGCTCCTTATATATGTTCAGAAACTAGACAAAAGTTAAACAAGTACAAACCACAGACTGCCTGTGTCATGGTGAATACAGTCGCTGCTTTATTTATGTCTGTATAGGCCGTTGTTGTGAGTGTGGACGGTCGGGGCATATACTGCGTTAGCTTAGCCAATCTCCATTTAGAAAACACGCATTTTAAAAGGTGTTTCGCCTGCCGTCTGTCTGCAGACTTGACAAAGCATTAATTCATGGTTTTTACTAACCGGTATCAGTATGTTGTTACTTCGGCATCATTTTGAAACGTGTATTACAATTAAATCACGGTCAAATATGTCCATCTTGTTGTAGTTGTAGCCCCCTTGCCAGCGACGCTCTCTCTAGTTAGCATACTCAGCCCGACTCAGCCTCGTTGTCTCTGGCCCTAGACCCACGATTTTATGAGGCCAGAAAAACTGTGAATTAGGACCCGCCGGCCGGTACTAGGCCAAGTGGAAACGCAACCAAAGACGGGCCGCTGACGTCACAGCTCTCTTAAACCGGGCTGCGGGCTGTAGTGGAAACGCGCCATTAAACACTTGTCTTTTTTGTGCGTACTGGCCCTTTAAATCTCCTCGGTGTTTCAGTGGGGATGAAACGTCCTCTTTACAGGAAGTGGAGAAAAACTATAAATAAAAGTCTGGAAGTTATTCTGGAGACGAGCGAAACGACCACACTTACTACAGTAATGATAGGGCGCACACACACACACACACACACACACACACACACACACACACACACACACCACACACACACACACACACAACACACACACACACACACACACACACACCCACACACACACACACACACACACACACACACACACACACACCACACACACACACACACACACACACACACACACACACACACACACACACACACACACACACACACACACACACACACACACACACACACACACACGTCAGGAGGCAGAAATACATCCAAGTTTTCCAGCATTTGGGAAAAAGGAAGTCACATGTATGACTGTGTGTGTGTGTGTGTGTGTGTGTGTGTGTGTGTGTGTGTGTGTGTGTGTGTGTGTGTGTGTGTGTGTGTGTGTGTGTCTACATGCTAACATATGAAGCTACATGTTCAGGTTCATCTTCTCTGTTTGGTAGCAGCAGCTGACTTACAGGTCATTTTAGGGTTAAAAAAAGGCTTTATTTTGAAAATCCATGCTGTGATTTGGAGTTTTTAACATCTCCTCACAGGTCTATAACTTTATATTAAAATCTTAGGGAAATTAGATACATTTTTTAGAGTTTGTTTTTATTTTCCTTGAGAGAAATTAAACTTAATTAATTGAATAATTAATATAGGTGACATGTTTTGCTCGTTAAGACACCTTCAAATAATTCAAATTAGCTGCTACCAAACTGATGTAACACTGAACTAAGAGATGAAGAGGAAAATTAAGAAGATGAAGAAGAGGAAGATGAAGAAGATGAAGAGGAGGATAGTTACCTGCGTCCACGTCAGCTAGTTTTAAAGCAGCCCAGAAGCAGAGAGGAAGAGGAAAGCAAACAGAGCCGTTATCATGCAGCACACAGTGGGAGGAGCCTCAGGAAGACACACCTTCACACACCTGTACACACCTGAGAGGGGAGGAGCACCTGCTGCACCTGCTCACCTTCAGGGGCTTTGTCACCCAATTAAAAAGCGGATTAATTCATTTCTTCTCATGGAAACCTGGACTCCTTATTGTCCCTGAACGCAGCATAGAGAGGAGATTTGGGAACAATAACAGCTCCTGAGATGAACTGAGTGTCCCTGAACGCAGCACAGTTTTCCTGAGGCTGAATTCTTGTGGTTTCTGGTTTCTGGTTTTCCTCCCGATCGCTTTGGGAATGCAGCGTCGCTATTTTTAGACTTCAGGAATTCACAACAACGTTTCAGACTCTCAGGGAGTTTTTGTATTTAATTAGGAGCTGCAGTTTCCTCCAGATCAAAGAGTGTGTGTGTGTGTGTGTGTGTGTGTGTGCGCGTGTGTGTGTGTGTGTGTGGCAGAGAGGCTTCAAAATAAAACGCATTACTGATGCAGCAAATATTTATTCTGTGTGCCCTTCAGGGACAATCCGGGGATTCCCCTTCACTGTCTGCAGAATAAAAAACCCCTCTGAGTCAATTTAGATTAAATAAACCGTTATAAATTGTGTTACACACACACACACACACACACACACACACACACACACACACACACACACACACACACACACACACACACACACACACACACACACACACACACACACACACACACACACACACACACACACACACACACACACACACACACACACACACACACACACACACACACACACACACACACACACACACACACACACACACACAGAGGGGTTTTTCTGTTCTAAAAGAAGTCCTGAGAGGAAGCCAAACATACTTTACTGACAGCTAGCGCTAAAAACAGAATAATATAATCTGTAAAATGACATGTAATCCAGCATAATGTCCATTTACACAGTGCTTACCATAAACCATGCAGTTAGAATTAGGTTTATTTTTCATGTCTTGCAGGTATTTCAAAGTAAAAGCCTGTGAAAGACAGGAGAATGATCCTTGAGGGCTTTTACTTTGAAAGACCTGTACAGGAAGATGCATAGATTTGTATTAAGGCATTATTTGGTTGATAATAAACAGATTTGTATTCAATGTCAACATTTCTCCTCCCAAAATAAAAGCCTGAACGAGCGACCGCATTGCTGACGACCCTTTCACAATAAAAGCATGACCCAGATCTTTGACCTCTGATAGTAAAACGTTTTAATTATGGAGGTGTTTGTGTGGTATCCATTAGGAGACAGGAGGACCTCCAGAGATGTGAAATATTGAAAGGAACACGGAGAGAAGTGGGTCTGCGCCCGGGGAATCTGATTCAATATTTAACGAGAAATCTGGTCCGACCGGAGAGGAAGCTCCACTTTTATTTCCTCAATGAGAGCAGGGTGAAATATTTAGGAGAGCGTGCACGAAGAGGATCCACAGAAACCAGCTTTTAAGGTGTTTTAAGGAACATTTTTGCATGAAAACGTGTAAAAATACGGGTTTTGTGGCACGACAACGTTGTTTTATTTTGAAAATCCTACATCGTTATGGTGTACATTTTTGGACACACTGTGAAATATTTTAAGCTTTTTAAAAGACATAATCATATATTTTTCGTTTTTTCCGTCTGAGGGTGAAGCAGATGCAGCCAGATGTTCTGAAGACAGAATAATTATTAGAATTATTAATTATTAATACATATTTCTTACCTTCAGGTGATTCCTCCTGCACGTACGTCCCCGTCAGATACCTGTGCACCAGCGCCGACTTACCACTGGCCAGGTTACCCACAATGCCCTGCAGCAGAGGAACAGGTTGCGTCAGATTTTAATATTTAAAATAATAATAATTTGTTTAATTAGAGGAAATATTATTGACTTGAAACATACGTAATTTTAACCATTATTATTATGTATTTTATTGTATTTTACAATTTGACAATTCTTCTATTTAATTGGTTAATTGGTACAAATAAATAAATACATTTTTTTAACATCATTCACTTTTAAATTATATGAATTTTATTTGGTATTTCTGATCATTATAATAAAACGAATCTTAATTTATATTAAAAACTCACCACTTTGAGTTCTGGTACGGCCCGGCTCAGCGTCCACTCCTGACTGTTCACGAACGCAT